ATTGAGGAGAAGAGAAAGAGAGATAGAGAGAGGGGTTCCGGTGACGGCGAGGACGACGACGATGGATCCTTCTTGCCTTGGTCGGAACTTTTTGCGGTCGCTCTCGGGACGAGCCCGAGAGCCAAGGGGGCAATAAAACTAATGGTAACGCGCGCCGGTAATTCCTTGCGGTCTCTGTTTGTCGCAAGTCGACGACCCGGTCTCTCCGCCTCGTCATTTACCGAGGGAGGATTCTACGGTTCAATGTCGGCCGACGACGACGACGACGACGACGACAATGACGACGGCGGGTGGTGCTTTCTCGCTTTCGTCGCGGTTGGTGGTAACGCGGTAGAATTGGGTTAGCGTCGCAGATTTTAAATGCCGGATGCCTTTCTGCACGAAACGTGATCGCTTTCTCCGATACCTTCGGAAAAAATGGGTTTTCGACCATTGTCCACGCCGGTCTCATTAACTTCAGCTTAGAGCCTAGAATAGAAAAGAAAGGATCCTACTGAAATATATGCTAACGTCATTTTCTCTCCTTGCGATTTATCTTACAGTGGGTAGAGGAGTCTTTCACGAACTTCGACAAAGGTATCAATTGGCGGAGTTATGTTGTATGCGACGTAGCGTACAACAATGTGAACAACTGGCTGTGGACGCCATTCATAGAGAGGGGTCCGGCGAACCGCATGTACATAGAAATCAACTTCACGACCCGCGACTGTTCGCTGTTTCCCGGGAACGCTCTCAGCTGTAAGGAGACCTTCAGTCTACTTTACTACGAGTTCGACGCCGCCACCAAGGAGCCGCCCCCGTGGGAGCCGGATAGTTACAAACTTATCGGTGAGCGATCGTGGAACAAAGCACGGCAATTAAAGGAATTATTATGAAAATGAATAGGAATACTGATGAGTATAGATTCGAGAGAATAAAAGCTTTATATCTCTCTTAACAGAGATATCTGAGAGAAGAATGAAAAAAGTTTTTAAAAGAGGAAGATTGGAATTTTGGCTCAATTAACAGACTTTTATATTTATGTCTTTCTCGAACCAAATTTATTAATCTTGATATCTGGGACAACTTTCACGCACTTTCAATAATTTTGACACGTTTGCAGGTCGCATAGCCGCGGGCGAGGGCAGGTTCAACACGAATTCCGAGGTGGTAATAAACACCGAGGTGAAGTCGATCCCGGTGACGAAGAAGGGCGTCTACTTCGCCTTTCGCGATCAGGGCGCCTGCATATCGATTCTGGCCATCAAGGTGTACTACATCAGCTGTCCCGAGATCTCGGTGAACTTCGCCCATTTCCCGGCCACGCCGACCGGTCGCGAGGTCGCACTTATCGAGCAAACGCGCGGCACTTGCGTGGCGAACGCCATCAAAATCGCCCAGCCGACTTTCCTCTGCAAGGGAGACGGAAAATGGTACCTTCCGACGGGTGGATGCCACTGCAAGCCTGGCTACCAGGCTGACGTGGACAAGCAAGAGTGCAAGGAGTGTCCGATAGGCAAGTTCAAACACGAGGCAGGCTCTCATGCCTGTGAACCATGTCCAGAGCACAGCAAAGCTTCCGATTACGGCTTCACGGAGTGTCGTTGCGATCCGGGCTATTATCGGGCGGAAAAGGATCCTAAAAAGATGCCTTGCACGCGTAAGTATCGATTGAACTAAGAATTCCCATAAAATGCTCCTCTTTTTATTACCATATTAAAATTTAATAGTTGTCCCAAATAATCACAAAATCCAAAAATTTCCAAAAGCGTTCGAAAGATCAGAGTCTCCTGAGAATCTTCATTAAATTATATATTAATTAAGTTCTGTAATTGATCTTATCTTGCCCGCGTGAGTATCGATTGAACAATTCTTATGGAAGATTCGTCTTTTATTATCATGTTAAAATTTAACAATTTTAAAACAATTTTAAAATAATTACGAGATCTATAAATTCTCAAAAATATCTAAAAGATCGAAATTTGTTGAGAATTTTTTCATTTAAAATCTTAAATTTTGTAATTGATAATTGCCTTGCACGCGTGAATATCAATCGAACGTGAACTAACAATTTTTATAAAGGACTCGTTTTTTTGTTATAATTTTAAAATTTAACAATTGTTGAAATAATCACGAGCTTCAAAAACTTTTAAAAACATTCGAAAGATCAGAATCTCTTGAAAAAAATCTTCATTAAAATAATCATCTTCAGTGAGTCCTGTAATTGATATATTTTCGTTACATATTACGTTAAAAGTTACGTACAAGCGGGAGATGGGAAGAATTTGGGGGAACGGCGTTCCGCGAAAATCTTCAAGAATATACTTCTTGCAGAACCACCTTCGGCGCCGCAAAACCTGACCGTCAACTTTGTTGATCAGTCCACGGTGATTCTTTCCTGGAATGCGCCGCATATGCAGGGTGGCAGGTCCGACACGACTTACCGAGTGGACTGCGATTCCTGCAGCATGGGCGTCAAGTACATTCCCAATACCGTAAGTTCCCTTTAAATTAGTATGTATTATACGCGAATACAGATATCGCCCGGCGATAAAAAAATTAAATTATTCCACGATCAAAACGCTGACGCGCGAAATCGCTTCGATTTTGCGATTGCAGGAGATCTTCAACGACACGAAGATCACGATAACCGGCCTGAACGCGGTGACTACTTATCGCTTCCAAGTGTTCGCCGAGAACGGCGTATCGTCGTTGGTCGGCAAATCGGAATACGTGGACATTACCGTTACGACAGAGGCGAGCGTGCCGAGTCTAGTGAGCAACGTCAGGATCACCAGCGTCAAGAGCTCGGAGCTTAGCATCAGCTGGGACGCGCCGGACATCGGAGCCGGCGGAGACAACGATCTTGTCGAACGATACGAAGGTAAAGAGACGGCTAAAGAGTCGCTAAATAACGCCGCGTTGCTACGCCATTGTACGGCGAGATCAATTCCAAATTGTCACTTGATCGCGCGGTGCTAGCGAAGAGGGATTAATAATCGTTCCGTATATCTGATATAGTGAGGTGTTACCCGCGCTACGACGACGCCACTAATGCAACCGTCATTCAAACGTCTGAGCTGTCCGCCACGTTCAAAGGTCTCAAGCCTTCCACGGATTACGCGATACAGGTTCGCGCTAAGACCACCCGCGGCTGGGGCGAGTACACGCCGGTGATATTTAAAAAGACACCCCACGCTATGGGCCTAGGTAAGCGCGTTCAGCGGCATTCAGATTCCCATTTCGCAATCTCTCTCGTACCGCACCTCTAACACGAACATTTCACGCAGATTACGTCGGCGAGGACGACAACATGCAAGTTAGGATAATCGCAGGGGCGATCGTTGCCGTGGTCGTACTTCTCGTGATTATTATCATCATGACCGTTCTGATCCTCAGAAGGTAATTGAATCATTTTCAATTAAGAAATATAATGACACTTCGAATATTCCAGCGCGTTATTGCGCGCTGGAAAGTCGATTCTTTTCGATTGTTTTACTCAATTCGGCTGATATACGATTTCGTTGCAGCAGGGCCTCGGACGAGTGCAACAAGAAGCAGCCAAGCGATTGCGACACCCTGGAGTATAGAAACGGCGAAGGTACGTTCGCACTTTGTTCGAAATTCCTCTCTTTAAAGATTTATTATCGCTACTATTTCCCCCCCCCCCACCCCCACACCCCTTGTCACTTTTATAGTTGTTTCATTACGCCCTCGTGTCTTGTGACTAACTTTGGAATCACTGGACCCCCTCTTAGATCCAGCAAGTGTCAAAACTATATCCCGTATACAGACAGACCCACGATAATACGTTAAACATCCCCCCCCTCTCAATACTACGTAGAGATTTTTTTGCGGATGAGAGTGAGAGAAAGAGAGATAGCTGAACGTTAACATCATAGAGAAAATGAGCGAAGAGAAAGCAGTCGGGCTCTGAATTACGTCCGCGACAGGGACTTAAAAGAGAAACGATCGCTTTCGAACCAAAATTCACACGATCTGGCCCATTGCCTGAGTGCGATTATTCTAACCAAATTCTTTCGATTCTTTCTTTTCATGTGCGATTCCCCTAATCTATCGAACCTGCCTCCATGAAAAATCCATGAAAAAAATCCAATGAAACAATGTACACAATCGCCTGCTACTACAGGACTAGTTGTGACCTACAGTAAGTCTTCT